CCCCCCCCCCCCCCCCCAAAAAAAAAAAACTTTGAGGTAAATTACAGTGAACCCCCATGAACTTTCAAAATATCTTTTTATGTTGTTTTTCAGTTCTAATTTATGGGGCTTATTTACAAAACTCAGAAAGTTCATGGGGATTTTCTGCAATTCCAAAAAATCCATGAGGGTTTTGTGTGCTTTTGAAAGTTGATGGGGGTTTAGTGTAATTTACCAAATATTAAACTTGTAACCCATAATGAATTAATGTATTTTGAAATCCACCATTATGAAACCATGTACCGTAAAAAATGCAAAGACTAAATCTTTCCGCAAGCTTGTAGCCTGTCAATGAGTATCGCTCCAGGGTCTCAGGTTCGACTCTCTTAGGGAGCACCCTGAATTTAATTTTGTGGGAAGTTCCCTTGCCAAACTAAATAATAATAATAATAATAATAATAATAATAATAATCTTTCCACAAGCTACATAACCTGCACTAGGACCCGCTAACAAATTCGAACGAAAATGAGGCCTGGTCATAAATTTACCTTCCTATGTCAACTTCACCCTGGACCCGGCGAAGCAGCGCCGTGGTCTTCCCGGCGAACATCGGGCCGATGATCACGTGAATTTCGCCCGACGAGCACCGGGCTTCCCCTGACCGATCCAATCCGTTGATGGGCATACTGAAGTGGGATCTGACGGTTGAGTGCAAAGATCTCAGCTTTATGGGAAGACTAAAGCGGGGCTTTGTTAAATAACGAGGGTCACAGGAGAGACGAAAGGGTTGGCGATGGTGAAAGGGGAGTGAAGAGGAGAGGAGGGATATCATAATGGAGACTGAGGAGCGGATGGGCATTTCATAAATTCAATTTTTGGTGGAATTTTGAATCGATTGTTGGAGGTTTTTTTGAAATTTTGGATTGATTGTTGGAGGTTGAGGTTTGAAATTTTGGGGGATGTTGGAGGGAAAAAGCGGTTTTTTAGACGGAAGTAATTTTTAGAGAGAAGGGAGGTTTCCCCTTTGTTCGGACCGGGTGAGTGAGGGGCAGGGGGGAATTTTCTTCTTAAATTGGGGTACATCTATATAATTTGATTCTTCTTAAATTGGGGTATAGAGAAAGTAAAATATTTTGAGTCATCATGATACAAATCTAAGGGGTTATTTGGTTCGATTTCTATAAAAAAAGGAAAAGGAAAATGAAAATTATCAATAAATTAATTTCATTGTATTTCTATAAAAATATGTAGGAGAAGTTTATGGAATTTAAAAAATATTACTTTTCTTGTTTATTGTTATTCTTTTGTTTGGATCAAAACATGAAAATGAGTTCCTAACTTTATAGGAAATTAGGGTTGTGCATGGTTTGGTCCAAACCAAAAAAACCGACCGAACCGATCGAAAATTAGCGGTTCGGGTCGATTTTGTTTGTGGGTTGGTTCAAATTGGGTTGAAAACTTTTCAACCCAAACTGACTGCATCACTTAACACTATAATTTTTAACCCCTACCCATACCCAACCCGTTCACTAAAATACCTCAAATTGAGATACCTAAACTCTAACTCCAAGTCTCCAAGCCCGCAGCCCCAGCCGCACTTCCTCAAATCTGCAGTTCCGCCCAGCCGCACTTCCTCAAATCCATAGTTCCGCACTCGGTAGTTAGCAACACTCTGCACTCTCTCACACTCTCTCTGCACTCTGCATTGCACCGGCACCAGCACATGGCAATCCACACTCTGCAGCCCGCACTCTAAATTGTGGCGAGGATGTTTCCAAGTAAATTTTTTTGTTGTCAATGTTTGTCACAAATGAGTATTTACTGTCTATTGCATTTTGAATCGTTTCCTCTCTTTACCGTTTAACATTGTATCTGATACTTTGGGTGTTCCACAAGGGATCAAGATATTAGAGTGCAGAATCTTAAAGTGGGAAGTTTACTTCAGAGGGTATTAAATGCAACCTAAATTGTTTGATTGTGTGTTTCATGTCATGGGATTGGGAGGAGAGTTATGTTGAGATGTTTGTGTTTGAAATTTAATTATTGGATAAGTTTCTGCTACAATATTATCAATCTGTGAAGTCCATGGCCATGAATTTCCCTTCAAGTCAAAATGTTATGATATGATATAATATAATACCATAATTTGAAATAATATAATATATTATATTATAACATGATACCTTTTAATATATATTATTGTAATTATCATGTAATATATATATATATATATATATATATCAAGTCAAAATGTTATGATATGATATAATATAATACCATAATTTGAAATAATATAATATATTATATTATAACATGATACCTTTTAATATATATTATTGTAATTATCATGTAATATATATATATATATATATATATATATATATATATATATATATATAAGGTTTCCCAATTTTTATTCATAGATCTTTTATATGCCTCCTAGGATATAGAGAGGCATCATTTTGATGAATATTAGATTCATAGATGTACCTTATGGTGGCTATCCATGGAGTTCCATACAAAGAGCAAATCGATCAACACATGGTGGAAGAACAGGTTCAAGGAGAAAAGAAGCAAGAAGATTGACTAGCAACCATGGGAGAAAAAGGGCCAGTGTGTTCCTTGTTTTTGTGATTGCTTATGTTTTTTCTTTCTTGGTTTTATGTATTGATTTTCATCTAGATATGCATTAAAAGATAAAATCCTAAATAAATTTAAAATATCAAGTAGGAGAAGGGACTAGTTAGCCCTGCGGTCTTCCATCATCGATCCTCTGTTAGATGAGGATAAAATGCATCTATGCCGGTCGCTTTAGACGACAGTCCCTAAAGGAATGTATTTTATTCTCATTGTTTTCAGGAAGATTATCTAAAGATAGGATGGATGAGACATATTAGAGAGGTGAGACCACCTACAGTAGCTCCCTACTTGAAATGGTTATCATTCATACTAGATGATGGAATAATACTTGACTAAATGTTTGTTTGAATGTCTCCTACAGAGCATTGATAAACTTTTAGAGACCGAAGTAGATCAGTAGTTGTAATTATACAACGGTTACCAACCTATAATAGTAAAGTAGTATTTGTCCTTCCTAAAGAAGGGATGTTACATTATTATTATATACTGATGCATTAGAATCATATCATTTTACTGGATTTTTTATGATTAGACGATTCTATATGCTTTTAAGTCTGATTTGTTTTATATTTAATTTTCAGCATGTCTTCGTCTTCATTCAATCCATTGTCTGCTATATTGAATCAAAATAAACTCAACGGTCAAAACTACGTAGACTGGAAGAGGAACATAGACATAGTGCTAACCGCTGAAGGATACAAATATGTCCTTACCACACCCAAACCACAAGAACCTGATTCTGAGGCAACTCAGGAAGTAAAGGATAACTATGAAAAGTGGGTCAAAGCGAATGACATGGCAAAGTGTTATATCTTGGCCAGCATGACAAACGTTTTACAGCACCAGCATCAGTACTACACTATTGCTAGTGACATCATGTTCAACCTGAACGAGATGTTTGGCTCGCAAGGTCGCCTTGCAAGGCAGAAGGCCATGCGAGAGTTTTTGAGTACGAAGATGAGTGAAGGAACTTCAGTGCAGGATCATCTCCTGAAGATGTTTGATCATCTAAATACACTGGAGGTCCTTGGGGCTGAGATTGATGGAGAATCTCAGGTTGATATGATCCTGGAATCGTTGCCGGAGTCCTATGATCAGTTCAAGTTGAACTATGTTCTGAATCATAAGGACTACTCCCTTAGTGAGCTCATGAGCGCACTGCAGGCAACGGAGGGGATTATCAAGCCCACTCCTTCTATTCAAAATACTGAGAAGACTTCTTTTAAGGCTGGCCCTAAAAGGCAGAAACAGTTTAAGAAAAAGAAGCCTAAACATCCGAAGGGAAAAACAGGACCTGCTACTGGTGGTGTGGGTAAGGGTAAAGGCAAGTCTGGCAATGGCGGGGAGAAACCCAAAGGCAAGTGCTTCTTGTGCGGGGAAACCGGGCACTGGAAGAAGAACTGCCCAAAGTTTCTAGCCAGAAACAAGACAGGTAAGACTGAATTACAAGTAATTGAAGTTAGCTTTATTGCAGATACTTCTAATACTTGGTGCATTGATTCAGCTGCAACTCACCATATCTGCAATTCATTGCAGGGGTTTCAGGTGAGCAGACAGCTTGAAGCTGGGGAAATTAGTCTTAGTCTTGGATCACATGCCAGAGTATCAGCGGAGGCAGTGGGAGTAGTTAGACTTTCATTTCAGAATAATAAAGTATTGATTTTGAATGCCTTGTATGTCCCCACTATAAGGAGAAACTTAATTTCTGTACCTGCATTAGCAGCACAAGGTTACACTTGTAATTTTGGACAGAATGTAGTTATCAAAATCAATGGAACTTTAATTTGCTCTGGAAAATTGTTTAATGGCTTATATTTCGTTTATCCCACTGTTATTGAGTTAAATGCATCTGAGGTTGTTGATTCTGTGTTGTCTAAGAAAAGAAAGTTTTCTTCTAGTTGTCCTACTAAACTATGGCACCTTAGACTTGGTCATATTAGTCTAAGTAGGATTAACAGACTTGTTACAGATGGTGTACTGCCTGATTTGGTAGTGGAACCTATCTCAATCTGTGAATCATGTTTAGAAGGTAAAATGACCAAGAGATCCTTCCCTGCAAAGGGAAATAGGGCCAATGGTTTACTAGACTTGATACATAGTGATGTTTGTGGTCCTATGAACGTCAAGGCTAGAGAGGGTTATCTTTACTTCGTCACTTTTATTGACGATTGCTCGAGATATGGTTATACTTATTTGTTGCGGCATAAGTCTGAAGTCTTTAGCAAGTTCAAAGAATTCAAGGCTGAAGCAGAAAAGCAACTAGATAGAAGTATAAAATCTCTTCGATCCGATCGAGGAGGTGAGTACCTCTCTAGTGAGTTCATTGAGTACCTAGCGCAGCATGGGATTACATCTCAGCTCACTGCACCAGGTACGCCACAACAGAACGGAGTATCAGAAAGGAGAAATAGAACTCTTTTGGGCATGGTCAGATCGATGATGAGTTACTCAGATCTACCAACTTTCCTTTGGGGTTACGCTTTGATAACAGCAACATATTTAATTAACTTAGTGCCTTCTAAATCTGTTCCCAAAACTCCATGTGAGTTATGGATAGGGCGAAAGCCCAATTTATCCAAACTCAGGATCTGGGGTTGTCCAGCACATGTGCTTAAAGGGAACCCGGACAAGTTAGAAGCTAGATCTAAGTTATTGTATTTCGTTGGTTATCCAAAGGGTACAAGGGGATATCAGTTTTATAATCCTCAAGAACACATAATTATTGTAAGCACGCATGCTGTGTTCTTGGAGGAGGATTATATGATAACTGAAAAGTGTAGAGATCTCAAATTTGAGGAAGTGTCCTCAGATGTTCCAGTTATTCCAGTTCTACAAGAGAGTCAACCAGAACAAGAAACAACAGTTTTACCTACACCAGTCTCTAGTCAGATGCCTAGGCGTAGTGGGAGATTAGTCAGAACACCAAACAGATACTTGCATCTAGGTGAAGTTTTTGAGGCTATCTCAGAGACTCAGTCTGAGGATCCCACCACTTACCAAGAGGCAGTGACAGATGTAGACTCTAGCTTATGGAAAAAGGCTATGAACGCTGAGATGGGATCTATGTATTCCAATCAGGTCTGGGAGCTTGTTGACTTGCCTCCAAATGTTCGCTCCATTGGGTGCAAGTGGATCTACAAGCGGAAAAGAGGTTCAGATGGACAGGTCGAAGCCTATAAGGCAAGACTGGTGGCTAAGGGATATTCTCAAAGAGAGGGTATTGACTACGAGGAGACATTCTCTCCGGTTGCCATGATCAAGTCCTTCCGGATTCTCTTATCCATAGCAGCCTATCTCGATTGGGAGATTTGGCAGATGGACGTCAAGACAGCATTCTTGAATGGCTATCTTGAAGAGGACATCTATATGGATCAGCCAGAGGGTTTCGTAGC